TTCATTCTGTTTCCTGGGCTCTACCATTCATCCACTCTACCATTCATCCATGTCTGTCCACATTTTTCTTCACTCTACCATTCCATCCACTCATTCAGTCATCCTTTTCCTTCCATTCTACTCTATCATCCATCCATTCTTCATTCCACTGTCCACTCTGTCCGTCCTTTTCTTCTTTATTTCCATTCCATCCATCCATGTCCTGTGTCCATTCTCACCCCGTCTATCCATCTTCCTGTCCTTCCTCCACTCCGTTCCTTCCTCCATTCCATTCATTCCATTCCATTCAGCTCTGTGTGTCCATGCTCCTCCATCCACCTTTCCACTATTCCTCCTTTCCTCTTCCATTCTACCGTCCATTCCTTCCATCCTTTCCTGTGTCCTCCATTTTCGTTCGTTCCTTGTCCATGTCTGTCCTGTTGTCCAGCCTGTCCAGTCCACCATGCTCGTTGTGGTCTCACCGTTCGTCCACCGTTCATCCATTCCTTGTCCTCCAGCTATCCACTGTCTCCGTGGTCCACTCCACCATCCATATTTGGTCTGTTCTTCCTCCATTCGTCCTGCTTTCCATTCCATTCATCTCCTGTGCAAGTCTCAGTCCATGTCCTCGTGTCTGTGTCCTTCCTGTCTCAGCTCTACCATCAAGTGTCCATTCATCCGTTGTGGGTCATCCACGTTCGTTCCACTCAGCTCTTATTGTCCACAGTCCGTCCGGTGTGGTCAGCCATTCGTCCGTTCATCCTTGTCCACTCAGCTCACCATTTCCGTCTGTGGCCTGTCGTCCATTCCTCGTTGGTCCGCCATATCCACTCCGTCTACCATTCATCCTGTGGCCACTCGTCCTGTGGCACTGTGGCCACTCTGCGTCATCCGTCTCGTGTCCATTTCCGTCCTTGTGTCCGGTCCGGCATGCTCCTGGTGTGTCCTCCATGTCCGCCGTTGTCATCTCATCCTGCTCTTCGTCCACCGCTCAGCTGTCCACGCTCATTCGTCCGCTCAGTTCGTCCTCCGGTTCGTTCGGTCCTCCATGTCCTTGGTCTGTCCTTGTGTCCTGGTCCTGTCCATTCGTCCGTGCGTTCCATCCAGCTCCGTGTCCGCCACTCTACCGTTGTCCTGTCCATTCGTCCGCCTCAGCTCTGTCCATGCTCTGTCGTCTCACATGCATGTGTCCACCTCATCCATATCCACGTCTACCGGTTATCCTTGTCCACCTTTCTGTATTTCCTTCCACTGCCTTGTGGGCGTTCGTCCTGTGTGTCCATGTCGGCCGTTCCACCAGCTCTGCCGTTGGTCCATATTCCTCCAGCTCGTTCGTCCTGTGGTCCGTCCATTGCTCTGTTCGATCGTCCTGATCACCGGCTCTGTCGTCCGTCCACCAGGGACCACCAGCTCTGGATTGATCCACCGTCCATTCGTCGCCATGATCCATCCAGGCTCGTTCGTCCTGATGGCCATCGGCTCCACCATTCATCCACTGATCAAGGGCAACTCTATCGTCCGTCCACCATGACCATGGCTATGCCGTTCGTCCACCATGTCCACAGTCGATTACCATAATCACCATGCAGCTCTACTTATAGTCCCTATAGGCATGACCTCTACAGTTCCACAGCCGTGACCACCCTGGCTCTACCGTTCATCCACCATAACCACCCAGCTCTACCATTCATAAAGCATAACCACCTAACTCTGCTAATCTTCCCTATAATCACACAACTCTACCATCAAGCCACCACTTAACCTACCAACTGTAAAAATTCCACCACCATAACTATCAAATGTACCCATTCATCCCAATGACCATTAAACTTTACCATTCAACCACCATAACTATGAAACTCTAACATCCATCCACTAAACCACCTAGCTCTAAAATTCCACTACTATAACTCTCCAAATCTACTATTCATCCACAATGACCATCAAACTTCTACTTATTCTAACCACCACATAACTATGGACACTCTACCATTCGACCGCCATAACCACCCAGCTCTAAAATTCCACTACCACTATAACTCTCAAATTCTACCCACATTCATCCACAATGACCATCAAACTCTACCATTCAACCACCATAACTATGACACTCTACCATTCGACCGCCATAAATCACCCAGCTCTACCATCCGTCCACAATAACCACCCAACTCTACCATCCATCCACCATAACCACTCAACTCTACATTTCCACCACTGTAACCACACGACTCTATCATTTCATTCACCATAACCACCCAACTGTACAATTCCACAGCCATAACTATCAACTCTACCATTCATCTATAATGACCATCAAACTTTACCATTCAACCAGCATATAACCTATGAAACTCTACCATTCAACCACCATAACCATCAAATTTTACCTTTCGATCCACTATATCCTCCCAACTCTACCATGCATCCATCCTACCACCCAACTCTACATTTCCACCACTGTAACCACCCGACTCTATCATTCATCCACCATGACCACCCAACTCTACAATTCCATCCTATTGTAACCACCCATCTCTCCCATTCATCCACCCAAAACCTACCAACACTACTATTCATCCAGCATAACTATCAAAACTCTACCTTCGACCACCTTTACCACCCAACTCTACAATTCCACCACTGTAACCACCAACTCTACCATTCATCCAGCATAACCACACAACTCTACCATTTCATCACCATAAGCACTCAACTCTACTAATCATCGACCATAACCACCCAACTCTACCATCCATCCACCATAACCACCCAACTCTACAATTTCATCACTGTAACCACCCAACTTTACCAATCATCCGGCATAACCATCAGAACTCTACCATTCATCAACAATAACCACCCAACTGTACAATTCCAACACTATAACCATCAAACTCTACCATTCAATCACCATAACTATCAAACTCTAACATTCAATCACTCCTAACCATCCAGCTCTACCATTGATCCACCAAAACCACACAACTCTACCATCCGACCACCATAACAACCAAAACTCTACTAATCATCCACCATGACCACACAACACTACCATTGATCCACCATAACCATCAAACTCTACCATTCGACCGCCATAACCACCCAACTCTACCATCCATCGAGGATTACCACCCAACTCTACAAATCCACCACTGTAACCTCACAACTCTACCATTCATCCAGCATAACCACCCAACTCTACCATTCATCACCATAAACACTCAACTCTACCTAATCATCCAGCATAACCACCCAACTCTACCATCCATCCAACATAACCACCCAACTCTACAATTCCACCACTGTAACCACCCAACTCTACCATTCATCCAGCATAACCATCAAACTCAACCATGTATCAACAATAATCACCCAACTCCACCATTCATCCAGCATAACTCCTCTAAACTCTACCATTCAACCACCATAACTATCAAATTCTACCATTCTGATCTCCATAACCACCCAACTCTACTAATCATCCCCATAATCACCCAACTCTACCATTCATCCAGCATATCCACCCAAATATACTAATCTCATCCCTATAACCACCCAACTCTACCATTCATCACCATAACCAATAAACTCTACTAATCATCCACCGTAACCACCCAACTCTACCATCCATCCACCATAACCACCCAACCCTACAATTCCACCACTGTAACCACCCAACTCTCCTAATCATCCACCGTAACCACCCAACTCTACCATCCATCCACTGTAACCACCCAACTCTACCATCCATCCACCATAACCACCCAACCCTACAATTCCACCACTGTAACAACCCAACTCTACTAATCATCCACCATAACCACCCTAAACTGTACAATTCCACCACCATAAATATCAACTCTACCATTCATCCAGCATAAATGTCAAACTCTACCATTCATCCGCCATAACCATCCAACTCTACCATTCATCACCATAACCAATAAACTCTACCAATCATCCACCGTAACCACCCAACTCTACCATCCATCCACCGTTACCATCCAACTCTACAATTCCACCACCATAACTCTCAAACTCTACCATTCAACCACCATAACTATCGAATTCTACCATTCTGATCTCCATAACCACCCAACTCTACCATTCATCCATCCATAACTACCCAACTCTACTAATCATCCCCATAATCACCAAACTCTACCGTCCGACCACCATAACCACCCAACTCTACTATTCATCCACCATAACCACCCACCTGTACAATTCCACCACCATAACTATGAAATGTACCATTAATCCACAATAACCATCAAACTCTACCATTCAACCACCATAACCAACAAATCCTACACATTCGATCGCCATATCCACCTAAACTCTACCATTCATCCACCATAACCACCCAACTCTACTAATTATCCCCCATAATCCACACAACTCTATCATTCATCCACCATAACCACCCAATTCTACCATCCATCCATCATAACCACACAACTCTACCATCCATCCACCATAACCACCCAACTCTACCATTCCACCACTGTAACCTCCCAACTCTATCATTCACCCACCATAACTACCAAGCTCTAAAGCCACAGTAAAAGTTATCGTGTTACTACTATTTATGAAATATTAGTTCTTGACTCGTAATGGTTCCATTAGTTTTACTTAGATCTGAAGGGAAAGGTATGCCCTCAATTTATTCATGCAATTGATCACATTTTGCCTGGAGCCATTCTGAATTTGATAACTTCAATGTAGTCCCTTCGTAGCATAGGGACTAGCTAAGAAAGATGCTTGGTTATCAGCCTAGACATAAGAAATATCCATAAACGGCATTTATCTTCATAACTTTTGATAGTGTTTCTCTAGCCGTTGTTGTTGAAAATGGTAATTTAGCTTGAACTACTCACAGATGTGGTATATCTGACTTCCTAAAAATACAATTTTCAAAGAGACAACACTTTCATAAGTATAGTTAACTCCGGACAGTATTTCGTGTTTGCGGTAGGTTATATAACGTCGACCAGTTTGTTTTTGTTCTATCAAACCTTGGCTGGTTTTCATATGGCCCGCATCACGCTTTTTTGTTTCTTTATCTGAAACAACAAATGTTGAAGTCATCTTAGTGGTGCTATATCAGAATATCATACCATTGCTCAAACTTTATTGCGTGTCATTACCTGCCTCCCCAAACACAATTTACACGTAATATGTGCAGTCGGTATTATGGCGTAAGTTATTTTCTGTTGTTATTGAGGTGAGACATATATTCATAGACAAGTACACAGTAAAATCCAGGCGTCAGCAGAGCAGGGATAGCTTCATATGTCTACCCAAAACTTACTGACAGGTACCCTAAGGCCTTGAATGTTGTATCCCTCATCAAACAGTCCTTGAGTCGGATGTGTATGAGCACATCTACAAGGCCATGTATATATTTGATTGATACCTTCCGTGCACAAAGGAATATTGCTTTTGACTAGTTCAGTATAGAAAGGGAATGTACTGCACAATTTCAGTATATACTTTACAACTTCAGAGTGTAAAGGGATATTTACCCGAGGGTCTCAGAGTATGAAGTTTTCTACCATGGATACGTGAAATGCTCGAATTTGATTGGTCAATCAATAAAATCAGACGGTATCAATTTGGATTGAAAATGCGTCTGATTTCACGGCGCTTCACTGCGCACATATACAACACTGCCGCACTACTTCAGCTTGGCCACCAACATGACTAATATCAACACAACAGATCGACGTGATGGACATGCTGATGAAACATGCATTTATTAAAACTCAAAAATACAATTATACGATTTCTCCTCCTCAATTATTAGGGAACCTCACTATCATAATTATTACCTTCTATTATAAAAAATATCCAAACTCAATTACAATACACAGCCCCAAACAAAACAAACAATATCTAACATATAAATCACAAAACCTTGTAAAAATTAAAAATACATCCCTATCTATCCCTATTTATGCGGCAAAACGTTCGTAAACATTTACCTACCTGGTAAATGGTATATTTGTTTCCGTTTAGAATGAGATATTTGCAAGATAACGGTCAGGCAAAACACAAAAATTTAGGCCACTCATACTCCATCATGTCCCGTTGCATCGTTCAAAATGTCAAAATTGAACCACGAGTATTCCGCGCTCTGCCTCTTTCCCCGCAAGGCTGTCACTGCCATGTTCGTACATTTTGAAAAGCTTGGCCACAATCCAGTCCAAAATGATGAGAACAATGTTCCAAGGAATCCCAAGTTAGTCGCATGTACAAAAGCAGTATTGTCACTGACACTCTTTTGTCGCATCATGATCGACACTCGCCGGTCATAAAATCAACAGTCTTTGATGAGTTACAGGTCTTAGGTCGATCAGAAAAGGATATATTCTTCGATTCTGCAGGGTTCAGGTTCGACTGTCAGTCAAGTATTTTCGACTGTCACTTCGAATTTCAACCTTTCGCAAAATGTAAACACTGGCTCGTCCGCCATTTCAAACTGTTGCGTAACTGTCTACTTCCAAGAAAATAAGTAGGTCAGACGATTCCATTATAGTGTGGCCAGGGGTACAGTAACACGGCACACAAAACTATAGGCTGGTTTCGGTCGTGTGGAGTTATGATTATAAAACCAAGCTCTTAGGTGTTACATTATTGGGATTATTGTATTGAATAAACAGTAGTTTGTTTTCTTTGGACAGAAAAGTTTTTATGTTGCAATGTTAACAAAATACGAACCTACCACTCCCTTCACAGACGAGTTCAATTCGCCTTCTCGTCCCATGCCGGATTACGCCGTGTCTTCCGCAGGACGAGGAAGTTCGATGTTAAATCGGTTATGGTAGAATGGAGATAAACATACTGTGTTTTGAAATTAGATGAATGTTAGGCCGAAATGATAGTCTCTAAATTAATCATTTGAAACCTCACGTTACGCGTTCGGCTTCAAATGAAATTTAGAGACTATCAATTCGGTCTAACATTCATCTAATTTCAAAACACAGTACGTTTATCTCCCAAATATGTACCTGATATTTCAGAGTATTTACCTTTCTCTCTGCTGCTTCCCTTGCCATCTTTTCTTCTGGAAACAGAAAACTGTTTTACAACAAGTAACTATATGTCAAAGTAAATGAGCTCTTGATGAATAGCTTAATATATCTTCGTGTAAGTATTATGTACGTATAAACTGTTTATAATTTTCATACATTCGGAAGTTTTCCTGCTCTCTGACAGTGGCCTGTTAATAATCATATCTGTGTCAGAAAAACAACAACAACCAGAACACAACTGAGGCAGAAGCGCGCTTGGATGACAATCAAAATTGTAATTAATGATTGAGACGCAATTTGCTTTAATGAATGGTGGTGCATAAAGTTGTATGAAATGAATAGCATATTTAAGTTAGCGGCATATTTTGATAGGGATGTGAGCCAAATTTTAAACCGATGCAAACATACATGCATGAATGAGAATCGATGATTGCATTGTTGGTGAACTGTATATGACCTGTACAAGACACCATGGTCCGACTCCAGGCATCGTGGAGCTACAGAAGATTGCTGAATAAATAATTCATTGTACCTCAGAGTTTCAGAGTGTGAAAAATCTAGCTGATGCTCTCAGTATATAAAGGAGATTTGCCATAGAGTTGAAATATATAAGTATTATTTTTTCTGATGTTCTGGTTTCACTTTATATAAGGAGCAAACCTTTCAGCTGGTCTTTTACTTTCCTCAACTTTTCATCATGCTGTTTCTCCATCTATAACAAAGGGCATTACATAAACAATATGCTTTATTGTTATCAAAAATCGGAGAATAACACTGACATGAGACGTCTGGAAAAATAGCAATACATGTACTTACTTGTTGGTTCAGTTTACGTTGCTCCCTCATTTCATCTGGAGATAATGAAAAGTCAGTAGATTATTTATCTTTCCTGATTACAACACAAAAATCTATTATTCTGGACATGATATAACTCTTCACATGTACACATGGTCGAGTTAGTCAGCCTCGTAGGATGACTCAAAATGTCATTTTGTAAGTAAACACATAAGTGCAAATCATAGAAGAGCACAGGTCAGATTCGTCTCATGTAACTCACATAAGTTTGTTTACTGCATCGTACATACCTTTGCAGGTTTTGAGTTTCTTTCGTTTGTTTCGCTTGTGCAGCTTTAATAGTCTTCATCTGTAACAAGAAATGTCATCCACACTTAACTGTAATGACCGGTGTACCATTCTCGATGTTTTTAAGACAGGTGTATAAACAGTATATACATGTACATATATTTATGCTACCTTTACTATCTGAATGAAATACAGTGTTACGCATGGTACTCAGAATATGTACATAAGTTAGTATCACATGAGTGGCATATTTTGAAGTTATCAGTATATTTTGATGGGGATTTGTAACCAATCATACGATATTAACAAGTAGAAGATACATGGAGGGTGGATTAATGTCGGGCTGTATGCTTCTGTCCAAAGCACAAGGTAAACATTTCGCTTTCCCTTACATTTAAAACAAACTGATTTTAAACAAACTTGCCATTATGATTACACAATGCCATTTAGAAAGTGGTCAAATGTAACATATGTTATATTTTGGGATTACACTTTCTTAGTAAAATACAAATTCTAGTACTTTTTTGTTCAACTTGCCATTGCAACACAGTTTTCAGTTGATAATCAAACGTGTGTTCTGTAAGTGTCAAGTCTGAGTTATATAGTAGCACGAGTCTGAAATCATAGATGGTACTTACTTCAGTCGTCATTTCTTGAACAACTGTCCTTTGTGTCTTTTGATCTGAAGTTAATCCAAATTCATAAGAGTATTTATTATTTCATGATTTCAACTCTATAACTCTTCACAAGTAGCCATGGATATAAAAGCATGCTTGAAACAGTATTTCCTTAACAATATGGCGTGCCAGGATATAACACGAGACAAACACCGTTAGTGCTACGGTTTCCCTATGGTTGCCACACTGGTGAATCTCATCAGCACGGGTGCTGTGTAATTAAAATCCAGCGTAGGCGTGTCTGATGTAACCCACATTATTTCCATAATACGTATTACAGACTGTACATATATGTATAGTTCGTATTACGAACTTGTCAATGACTCCATATATGTGTGGTCAATACATGGGATACTGATCAGAACAATGGTGTAAAAGTAGTTCCAATATCAAATGCTCTTTTTGTCCTTGCTAAAACATCAGTTCCCTTTCATCAACTAACCTGATTTTATTTTCTTGAAGTCTTCTTCCAACTTCCCAATCTGCAGATAAGAAAAACAAAACAAATCCAGTTAACATAATGTCTATAGTGAAGACGTCGACGTTACATAACATCGACATGAAGTGTGATGAGTCAGTCTTCATCGGATAATATTCACTGTGTCATATGCCAGTCCTTTAACGTGGTAGACCCTGGACCCATTAGCAAACGTATATGAAACAGTAACAAGACTGTGACAGGAGGGTGACGGGAATATGACACAAGCATTACAGTCTAGGACGAGTGCAAGATCGATCTTTGACGTCAGTCTGTCGGTGGTATGACAAGAGTATGACAGGCATATGACCAGGCATGGATGTGATGACCGCAGGAGAAAAGTTTGAGAGTTATATGACAAGAATGTGAAGAGTGTATGACAAGAGCACCACGAGTGTTTGGCGATGAATATAAGATGGGAGTGTGACAAGAGCACGGGTGTATGACGGGTGTATGACATGAATGTGTATTGGTTAGTGCAAGAACGTGATGCGCTTTGGAAAATAATGCGACAAATGTCCGAAAAGAGCGCGGCATGTGTAGTAACAGAGAGCGAAAGATTACGATTGTGTGACAGGTGTATTGTAAGAATGCGACGGGTGTGTAACAAGCATATGATGGGTGTATTGCAAGAATTTGACAGCTGTGTGAGACGGATTTAACAGTATAGGCGGGTGCAATACGAATGACAAGAATATGACGCTTGTATGACAGGAATACGATGAGTGTACGACAAGAATATAAGAAGGGTATTTTAAAAGCGTAACAGGTGTTTTCAAAGAGTGCGACAGTGTTGCAAAAACGTGAACTGTGTACATGAATGTGACTGATGTAAGGAAAGAATATGGGAGGTTTATGACAAGACTCTGGCAGGTGTATTCAAGTGTTTGGCAGGTGTATGACAAGAGCGTGACAGGTGTATTGCAAGAATGTGAGATGAGTTTTTACATATGTAACTGATGCAGATAGGTAGATGTCTATTATGATGTACGTCTTGTGGGATTAAAGTAGCTAAGGTAAAGGTGTGCGAAGAAATTGTCACAGGTATTTCCCCAGAGAATGCAATGTCCGCGTTTGTAACACTGTCACTACTGAGTCATGGTTTTGACTTAAAATACGACCCTGCAGTTTGACTAGTTTGGTATTCATTTTTGTTTAAATTGTAGCATTATTAAGAAAACTTACCTCCCTGCATAGATCTTCTACTTTCGCACGTTTACCTGTAAAAATAAGAATTATTACACTTGCGCTTGTGTATATGATAGAAAATATGGTATTGAAATCCACAAATGAATAGGTTTTACATTGTATATTGTATTATACATGTACAGCCAAGTAATAAATATGCGCTCACGTGCGACGTCTCTGCCACACGCTTCTAGTTTGTCTGCCAGTTTCTGCATCTGAAACATGACAATAGGAGACACTTCATGTAAACAAAACTCATCTCAAGAACGTGAAGCAGTCGTCATTCACCAAGGTATACTGCCAGCAATGACCAGCTGTCATTTCATAAGAAATAAGGCATGATTGTATTTCAGTTACAGGTATCACTTTGGTTTTGATGTATCGCTTATCTAAGATGTATCGTTTAGTTTAGAAGTTTCAGAATTATGAAGATGAGTCCACAAGATACCTTTTATTCAGGACTGCGATTTCCTCCATTTTACCTGGAAATATATATTAATATTATAAATGAGGCTGGAATGATATATGGTGTGATGTTTCCAAATCATACATCGCCTATAGCTGATATAAGAGAGTTACCTGGCCATGGAGTGACAATGTGTGAAAGAACAATCTGGTGATTTCAACACTAAAAGGTAAATCTACAGGGACTCTACAACCACAAGCTACCCAGTAAGTCGGCCATGTTCTAAGACTAACATGAACAAAGCTAAACAGGTATAAAGCGTATTCTATCCTGTCCATGTAGTTTAAGACACAAGAAAAAATATAACGACAGTTTGTGTTGTGTGCTAAGGTAATACTTTGACCCCAGCTGAACTACCATTTTAACAAGACACACACGACTTGGCCCATAAGTAGTTAAGAAAAGAAGATTGTAAAATTTAAGGTGAAATGTATTGATCAGTTGTACCTTGGGCATTCCTTGCATGCTTTCTCTAGCTGCTCTTTGACTTCGTCTCTCTGAAAATATTTATGGTAATTTATTTACAATTATTTTTCATAATAGAGTTATTACAATCGATGTTGGTAGTTCACTGTTTAGGTGACGAACATTAAATATATTATTTGATAACTAATTGGGAGACATATTATCAAATGCTTTTCCTTTACGTTCATAAATACTACCGTCTACAAGTCAGAACGTACCTGGGCCATTAGGTCTGGTAACACCCCCGTCGTTCTCCAACCCTGCACAAAGTAAGAGGTGCAAAATGCATCAGTTTATAAACAGCCGTGTCTGAGTAAGTGTTCCAAATGGTTATAAGGTAGATGTGTGATGGAAGACGTATGTTCAACAGAATGATTTTGCGTTGGTCTGTCTGCAATTATTCTTGCATATAAACGTAAATAATTGCATAACAGGTAAGTGTGTTACTCACTTGCTATTTCAGATCTGTGCATATTGACTTTCTTATGCAGTTGATCAATCTGGAAACAGAAACGGTAAGCAAGTAGAAAGCCAAGGTCTATAAGACTATACTATATATCAACTACATAACTTATAAATTAGTCGAGAGCCATGGTATATAAGGTTTTATCATGTGTAACTACAGGACATATAAGTTAGCCAACAGAAGCTAGGTGTATAAAAGGACAGCTATATCATATGTTAACTACAGGACATATAAGTTAGTCAGTAGAAAGCCAGGGTATATAAGGCTATATCATTCGTTAACTATAGGACATTTAAGTTAGCCAGTAGAAAGCCAGGGTGTATAAGGCTATATCATGTGTTAACTATAGGACATATAAGTTAGCCAGTAGTAGAGTCAGGGGTATATAAGGCTATATCATGTGTTAACAAGGGGACATATAAGTTAGCCAGTAGAAAGCCAGGGTATATAAGGCTACATCATGTGTTAACTGTAGGAATGTAAGAATTAGTCAGTAGAAAGTCAGGGTATATAAGGCTATATCATGTGTTAACTACAAGACATATAAGTTAGTCAGTAGAAAGTCCAGGGTATATAAGGCTATATCATGTGTTAACTGCAGGACATATAAGTTAGCCAGTAGAAAGCCAGGGTATATAAGGCTATATCATGTGTTAACTACAGGACATATAAGTTAGTCAGTAGAAAGCCAGGGTATATAAGGCTATATCATGTGTTAACTACAGGACATATAAGTTAGTCAGTAGAAAGCCAGGGTATATAAGGCTATATCATGTGTTAACTACAGGACATGTAAGTTAGTCAGTAGAAAGCCAGGGTGTATAAGGCTATATCATGTGTTAACTATAGGACATATAAGTTACTCAGTAGAGAGCCAGGGTATATAAGGCTATATCATGTGTTAACTATAGGACATATAAGTTAGTCAGTAGAATGCCAGGGTGTATAAGGCTATATCATGTGTTAACTATAGGACATATAGGTTAGTCAGTAGAATGCCAGGGTGTATAAGGCTATATCATGTGTTAACTATAAGACATATAAGTTAGTCAGTAGAGAGCCAGGGTATATAAGGCTATATCATGTGTTAACTATAGGACATGTAAGTTAGCCAGTAGAAAGCCAGGGTATATATAAGGCTATATCATGTGTTAACTACAGGACATATAGGTTAGCCAGTAGGAAGCCAGGGTGTATAAGGCTATATCATGTGTTAACTATAGGAAATGTAAGTTAGTCAGCAGAAAGCCAGGGTGTATAAGGCTATATCATGTGTTAACTACAGGACATATAAGTTAGTCAGTAGAGAGTCAGGGTATATAAGGCTATATCATGTGTTAACTACAGGACATATAAGTTAGTCAGTAGAAAGTCAGGGTATATAAGGCTATATCATGTGTTAACTACAGGACATGTAAGTTAGTCAGTAGAAAGCCAGGGTATATAAGGCTATATCATGTGTTAACTACAGGACATGTAAGTTAGTCAGTAGAAAGCGAGGGTATGTAAGGCTACATCATGTGTTAACTACAGGACATGTAAGTTAGTCAGTAGAAAGCCAGGGAATATAAGGCTATATCATGTGTTATCTATATGACATATAAAAGCAAGCCAGTAGTAAGCCAGGTTGTATAAGGCTATATCATGTGTTAACTACAGGACATGTAAGTTAGTCAGTAGAAAGCCAGGGTATATAAGGCTATATCATGTGTTAACTACAGGACATGTAAGTTAGTCAGCAGAAAGCCAGGGTATATAAGGCTATATCATGTGTTAACTACAGGACATATAAGTTAGTCAGTAGAGAGTCAGGGTATATAAGGCTATATCATGTGTTAACAACAGGACATATAAGTTAGTCAGTAGAGAGTCAGGGTATATAAGGCTATATCGTGTTCAACTATAAGACATATAAGTTAGCCAGTAGAGAGCCAGGGTGTATAAGGCTATATCATGTGTTAACTACAGGACATATAAGTAAGCCAGTAGAAAGCCAGGGTATATAAAGGCTATATCATGTGTTAACTACAGGACATGTAAGTTAGTCAGTAGAAAGCCAGGGTATATAAGGCTATATCATGTGTTAACTACAGGACATGTAAGTTAGTCAGTAGAAAGCCAGGGTATATAAGGCTATATCATGTGTTATCTATAGGACATATAAGTAAGCCAGTAGAAAGCCAGGGTGTATAAGGCTATATCATGTACTAAATACAGGACATATAAGTTAGTCAGTAGAAAGCCAGGGTATATAAGGCTATATCATGTGTTAACTACAGGACATATAAGTTAGTCAGTAGAAAGCCAGGGTATATAAGGCTATATCATGTGTTATCTATAGGACATGTAAGTTAGTCAGTAGAAAGCCAGGGTATATAAGGCTATATCATGTGTTATCTATAGGACATGTAAGTTAGTCAGCAGAAAGCCAGAATATATATAAGGCTATATCATGTGTTAACTACAGGACATATACGTTAGTCAGTAGAGAGTCAGGGTATATAAAGGCTATATCATGTGTTAACTACAGGACATATAAGTAAGTCAGTAGAGAGTCAGGGTATATAAGGCTATATCGTGTTCAACTATAAGACATATAAGTTAGCCAGTAGAGAACCAGGGTGTATAAGGCTATATCATGTGTTAAGTACAGGACATATAAGTAAGCCAGTAGAAAGCCAGGGTATATAAGGCTATATCATGTGTTAACTACAGGACATATAAGTTAGTCCGTAGAAAGCCAGGAGTATATAAGGCTATATCATGTGTTAACTACAGGACATGTAAGTTAGTCAGTAGAAAGCCAGGGTATATAAGGCTATATCATGTGTTAACTACAGGACATGTAAGTTAGTCAGTAGAAAGCCAGGGTATATAAGGCTATATCATGTGTTATCTATAGGACATATAAGTAAGCCAGTAGAAAGCCAGGGTGTATAAGGCTATATCATGTGCTAAATACAGGACATATAAGTTAGTCAGTAGAAAGCCAGGGTATATAAGGCTATATCATGTGTTAACTACAGGACATATAAGTTAGTCAGTAGAGAGTCAGGGTATATAAGGCTATATCGCGTTTAACTATAAGACATATAAGTTAGCCAGTAGAGAGCCAGGGTGTCTAAGGCTATATCATGTGTTAACTACAGGACATATAAGTAAGCCAGTAGAAAGCCAGGTTGTATAAGGCTATATCATGTGTTAAATACAGGACATATAAGTTAGTCAGTAGAAAGCCAGGGTATATAAGGCTATATCATGTATTTATCTATAGGACATGTAAGTTAGTCAGTAGAAAGCCAGGGTATATAAGGCTATATCATGTGTTATCTATAAGACATGTAGAGTTAGTCAGCAGAAAGCCAGAATATATATAAGGCTATATCATGTGTTAACTACAGGACATGTAAGTTAGTCAGCAGAAAGCCAGGGTATATAAGGCTATATCATGTGTTATCTATAGGACATGTAAGTTAGTAAGTAGAAAGCCAGGGTATATAAGGCTATATCATGTGTTAACTACAGGACATGTAAGTTAGTCAGCAGAAAGCCAGGGTATATAAGGCTATATCATGTGTTATCTATAGGACATGAAGGTTAGTCAGTAGAGAGTCAGGGTATATAAGGCTATATCGTGTTCAACTATAAGACATATAAGTTAGCCAGTAGAGAGCCAGGGTATATAAGGCTATATCATGTGTTAACTACAGGACATGTAAGTTAGTCAGTAGAAAGCCAGGGTATATACGGCTATATCATGTGTTAACTACAGGACATGTAAGTTAGTCAGTAGAAAGCCAGGGTATATAAGGCTATAT